TATCTCTTATCTTAATAATGTATACAAGTGTCATCTCTTAATGTATTTTAATGTCATCTTTTATACAAGTATAAGTTGTAAAATAGTTATGCTATTTTATATATATTATTACTATGAGAAAATGTGTAGGGATTAACTCATTTCTAATAATAAACATGTAAATTATTAATATGGTTGTTTGAATGGAGATAGTGGTTTTCAGTGAAAGTACCTTTTATGCATGGTTAATCATTTTTGTACTCAGTTTGGACATTGTGATTACTTGTCTCACTACTTTTCTGCATCACATGAAACGAAATTATCGAATAAGAAAAATGTGCAATTGTAATTATAAGGGTGAACAATATTGGTAAGATAAGAATTGCATTTATTGATGATAGACAATTGGAGTTCTAGCTTAGTACAATTGCATTTATTGATGATAGTAAAGCCTCAAGGGCAGTGTATAAACATGCTGCATCACACTTCTGCCTTTGCCACAAATGCATAGTTGAAGGAATAAGTGTGAGTATTATATGCTAAAGGAGTGGTATTTATAGAACATGTAGGAGAGTGTAATATTAGAGTAATTGCCTCTAATTTGCAAATATACACTTAGCTATTTTGTAGAGAGAAGGATTGAAGTGGTTACACATGTATATAGCAGTAAGATATTTCCTCTCGTGGATGGTAAAGTTGACACGAGTTGAGGCAATTGTTCATCATCAGTAAGTAAGCTTAATAAAAAATGTCTTTGAAGATGGTTTATGTATATAGAGTTGGAAAGTTTTCATGAAAAGTTGGTATTATCTCTTATCTTAATAATGTATACAAGTGTCATCTCTTAATGTATTTTAATGTCATCTTTTATACAAGTATAAGTTGTAAAATAGTTATGCTATTTTATATTATATTATTACTATGAGAAAATGTGTAGGGATTAACTCATTTCTAATAATAAACATGTAAATTATTAATATGGTTGTTTGAATGGAGATAGTGGTTTCCAGTGAAAGTACCTTTTATGCATGGTTAATCATTTTTGTACTCAGTTTGGACATTGTGATTACTTGTCTCACTACTTTTCTGCATCACATGAAACGAAATTATCGAATAAGAAAAATTTGCAATTGTAGTTATAAGGGTGAACAATATTGGTAAGACAAGAATTGCATTTATTGATGATAGACAATTGGAGTTCTAGCTTTTTACTATTGCATTTATTGATGATAGTAAAGCCTCAAGGGCAGTGTATAAACATGCTGCATCACACTTCTGCCTTTGCCACAAATGCATATTGTGTGAAGAAATTATACCTGAATTATGCAGAAGAAAATGTCTTCACCTAAAAATTATTCATAAATATTTACCTCTGTTTTTATTTAATTTAGGCTCCGTTTGGTAACTATTTTTTTCAAAATGTATTTTCTATCTTTTCTTTTCAACCACACATTCTTTCTTAAAATAATATTACACGTAAATAAAAAACTTTTCCTTGTTTCTCAACCACATATTTCACATCAATTTACTATTCTAAAATGCATTTTTACATATAAAAAAAAATACCTACAAACACCCCCTTAATGTATCGTTGGGGTTGATGAACTTAAATTGTTTTTGTAGTTTACGTGCTTGTGTTATATTATTACTATGAGAAAATGTGTAGGGATTAACTCATTTCTAATAATAAACATGTAAATTATTAATATGGTTGTTTGAATGGAGATAGTGGTTTCCAGTGAAAGTACCTTTTATGCATGGTTAATCATTTTTGTACTCAGTTTGGACATTGTGATTACTTGTCTCACTACTTTTCTGCATCACATGAAACGAAATTATCGAATAAGAAAAATTTGCAATTGTAGTTATAAGGGTGAACAATATTGGTAAGACAAGAATTGCATTTATTGATGATAGACAATTGGAGTTCTAGCTTTTTACTATTGCATTTATTGATGATAGTAAAGCCTCAAGGGCAGTGTATAAACATGCTGCATCACACTTCTGCCTTTGCCACAAATGCATATTGTGTGAAGAAATTATACCTGAATTATGCAGAAGAAAATGTCTTCACCTAAAAATTATTCATAAATATTTACCTCTGTTTTTATTTAATTTAGGCTCCGTTTGGTAACTATTTTTTTCAAAATGTATTTTCTATCTTTTCTTTTCAACCACACATTCTTTCTTAAAATAATATTACACGTAAATAAAAAACTTTTCCTTGTTTCTCAACCACATATTTCACATCAATTTACTATTCTAAAATGCATTTTTACATAAAAAAAAAATACCTACAAACACCCCCTTAATGTATCGTTGGGGTTGATGAACTTAAATTGTTTTTGTAGTTTACGTGCTTGTGTGCGTAGTCTATATGTGGAATGGTTTAGAATGCGTTTAATTTGTTGTTTTGAAGTCATTTTCAGTTTTAATTTTTAAAACACTCCAAATGCGTTTAGCATGTTACTTTAAAAAATGCGTTTTCAAAAACAAAGAAAATTTGACAATATAAAATTCAAAACAAGGAAAATGAATTTAAAAATTTATCAAATTAAAATAATTAATAAAATCACACAAAATCTACCCAAATACAAATACTCATCTCTCTCTCTCCAAGCACCACAAAAAATGATTTATTATGTAAGTGCTTAAATATTACGAGTGACAATGATTTAGCCCTTGTTTGTGCCTCCATTTTTTCAAGAATACATTTTTTCTAAACTTATTTTCAACCACATATTTTTACATAAAATAATTATACACGTATTTCAAAAAAATTCCTTACTTTTTAACTACACTTTTTTCAAAAAACTACTATTCTAAAATGCATTTGTATACGAATGATTTTGATGTGATTGTTGAAAATATACTTAAAATGATTCCTTTTTTTTTTTTTAACCAACTTTAAAATTTATATTTTTATATCACATATTAGCATAAAATTGATATGTTTTATTACATAATCAAATTAATTGAAGACATATTATAAAAGTGTTTTTAAAATTTTTAAACCAAACGCTTTTTTAGTTTTTCGTTATGAGAAATAGTTTTTCAGAATGACAAACAAAATGTGTTTTCTGTAATCTTAAAATAATCCATCAAAGCTCAAATTAGAAGAAGAATTCAAAAATGAAAACAAAAAACAGAAACTCAAAAACCAAATGCACCCTTAATTTTTTCACAAGTTTTTCGCAAGTTTTATTGCTATTTCCACAACTGTTTACAAGAATCAAATGATTATTGATTGTCTAACAAAGATTAACCTCCCATCATTCATACATATAAAGCTTTTTAACAAAGGTACTTTGGAGGTTTTTTTAAGCCCTGTTTGGTAGCAATTTTTCATCCTAAAAAATTTAAATTTTTATCGTTATTTCACTATTTCAATCGTCATTTTTGACTTCTTTACTCATACATGAGATTCAATTTTCTTTCTAACAATAAAAAATCAATTACCATAATCACTATCGATCGAACTCCAAATTTGTCTAAAAACATGCATAGTCGAGTAATTATATCGCTGTAATTAACTCATGACAAAATTTAGTTACCACATAATTAGCTCTTTTATTTGCCAAGGTTTGCTAAAAAAATCATTATTAAACCCATCAATTTAAATGATGTATAATTTGTAAGGAATTCAAGACTCTGAATTTGCTCTCACATCGCCTATGCACTTATTTTGCATTTAAATAAATAATCGATTTGTACATAAATAAATGTTCACTAAATATTTCCTTTTTAACTTTCTAGGCATTTTCATTTTCCCTTCTATTTTTTGTTCGCAACTCCATTTCATTATTTTTACTTTTTGGCCAACTACACCAATATATCATCGTTTCTATGAGATAAATCAACAAACATAAAGTGACTTGATTATAACACCAGCTAAACTTCGATGATCAAATTGTAACATAATTCATTTTAACGAAACTTTTATTATTTTATTTATAATAGCTACGTCTTCAAGATTTTGTGTTCTAAATTAAGCATTTGTTTGACCCCCATTAAATTATAATTCATTCTTCACCATCTTTTATCAATCGCACAATTTTCAATAAATTAATATTTCATGTAAATCCAAAATTTTTCTTTATTTTTAACCTCACATTCTCCAAAAAATTATTATTTCAAAATTAATCTCTTGTTTGAGTCTCATTCTTTTAATAAGAATGAAGTTTTTGATTAGTGCATTGATAAGAAATATGTGGTTAAAAAATAAAAAATAAAAATTTTGAATTTACATGTAATATTACTTTTGGGGTCGTTTGTTTTTCATTTTTGTAAAAATAAGAATGAAAAATATATTCATTATGAACCTTACGCAAGAGATAGAAATTCATATTTGGTGGCTTGATGTGATAGATAACGGTCATATTTTTCATTTTAATGGAGAAATAATGTGAAACAAACAGGTTATTGAAGAATGTGTGATTGAAATGATATCAAAATACTGTTTAAAAATATATTTTTTTAAAATAATAGGGCTCATACGGGGCCTAAATTGTCATTATAACGACAAAATAATGGGGCAAATTCCTTTCTATCTTGTGATTTGACATAACAAGTTGCAAATCTTATGTTCCTTGTACGTACCTCTCTTGAGAACCTTCAAATTAGCTTTCTACAAGATTCTTTTCTTAATGAATAAAGATTCTGTCTACAAACTACTAAGTAACAACCGAAACATCACAATTAAGTGGGACAAAACAATGGTCAAATAACTAATAATCTTTTGCATTAGAATGTAGTTGTGTGGTGAGTAATAATCCAAAATACCAGAATTATTCAAATTTCAAAAGTCATTTCAAAAATTCCATTCTCAACCCAACAATTCCATAGAGGACACAACAATTATCAATCACTCGAGAATATCTTTAGTCAAAAATGGGAAAAAAAATAAAGGGACAGTTGAAACTTCCAATTGAACTCGACCGGTACGTCCTCAATACCGTCTAATGACTACCAATGCACCTTAACAAACATGCCATTAGAACAGAAGACGACAAATTATCTTGTGACAATAGAAAAATGCATAGATCGAAATTTGAAGACAACTCTTTCTTTTCAATGAAAAAGTTACAGAAATTACAAAAGTAGGTGTATCAATTATTTTGCTTGTGGAAGAAATTGCTCATTATGAAGGCTAAGATTAAGAAAATTTCATTGCTATTTGAGTTACTCTATTCAGGTTACACCAGTCCAAGGATTAGGCATACCCCTCTATCAGAATCGAAAGTCGGATCAATCGCTGGATCGGTTTCTCTTTTGCCCACCTGTTCCATCGGATTTAGTAGTTCCTGCTGATTCTCCTTCGGAAGAAGCCTCCATAGATTTGGCAAAAGAATTGGAAAGATTCGCATAGAGTTCAGCTACCCTTCTAATGTTGTTGTTGAGCTCTCTAATTAGACCTGCATTTCGACTCAAATTATCCGGAATCTTGGACTCGTGATTTTGGTTGATCTCCCTGATTAGCACTCTGTTTTGGTCCAAAATATTTTGAACTTGAACAAAATTTTTCTGAAACGTCTCAAGAACCTTGGCCTCAATTTGCGGACCATTGGCAATGCCAGAAAATAGATTGTCTTCCATGCCTTTTGGTTTCAAATGTAATTAGAACCACTGCAATTTTAGGAAGAAACCACAAAATGTCACAATTAATCCAAGATTCCCTACATCTTCCCCCAATTAGAATTAAGCCTAAGCTGAAACGGCCAAAACCCGTCGATTTTATGGGTTGAAATTACACTACATAGATTTTGGGTGATTTTTAAATAATCCCATATCGTTCCTCAAAAAAACTAGCAAACATCGATTTTTTCAAACCCTCGTAACGGTGCCACCCAAAACCGGTGGAAAAAACTCCCAAGCAGTCCCTAAGCCTAAGACTAAGCCTAACCCCAATCATGAAAGTCATATAATGCAAAACGAAATGAAAAAAGCACATAAGCAAATACATAGGTTCGTACTCATTCACTGCCAATTCGAGAGCATAATGTACTCTCCATACCAAGATGAGAGAGGATTGCAACTGCGATCTCACGTTTCTTAATCTTAAAAATCAACCCCTAAACTGATCCTCGTTTGATGGATTAAGCATACATTATGATTAGGCTCCATGGATTGCCCTTTTTAATATTCAAACATGGTATTTGAAAGTAACCAAAAAAAAAAAACAGATAAGTACTTCTATTCTATATACAAAAAAGCTGACTTCTTTATTGATGAAAGAACCTTTCCCATTTATGTTCTCTTAAAACTAAACAAAACTCTGATATTCTGGATGTTAAATCTCCATTACCCCTAAATAACCCAAATCAAAATTCTCTTACAAAATTCAACAAAATCTTCAATCCTCAAAAGCAAATCGCTGTTATTCTTGAGAAGAGGGAAAAAATCCCAAAAGAATCAGGACCAAGTTTTCGCAGAAAGTGAGAACTAGATTAATTTCCAGATAATAAATTTGTAAATTTGAAAAGAATAGCAGAATTTCTAGAATGTTCTTGTGGTTTACCTTGAAATTGAAGAACATAAATTATATATATTTCCAACAAATTTTGTGGAGAAACGTCAACGGAGGAATCAGACTACAGTTTACCTTGAAATTGAAGAACATTATTTATATATTGCCAACAAATTGTGTAGAGAAACTTCAACGGAGGAATCAGACACTACCCTTTACGGGATTAAACAGATGCTCTGAATTCTGAAATCATGAGCATACAGTTAGAGAGAGAAAGAGATATATATAATTATACAGACACTGTAAGAGATTTTACAGTACATGTCGAGTCGCACGGAGGAGGACCCGCCGCAGCTGCGGTGGACCTGGTGGATGAGGAGTTGATTTTTCTCTTTCTAAGACTATTGTAGTGTGTGATGACAGGTGGACAAATACTTTCTCTCTCCCTCCTCCTGCGGGATTCTTTCACCATTCATTGCTTGCATTTTATAGGACGATGGAAAAGTCTTCAAATGCCCTTTGTTTGTTATTTTTTGTGTGATTCCTGTGGGTAGAAGAGTTTCTATTGCACCATGCTCGTGAGACTACACGCTAACGTATAGATTTTAATTATATTATTATCTATTATTATTTTTTGAATTATATTGTTGCAAGTAATAACGCCTCGACCATTCTTCTTTCATGTATAAGGTGTCTCACGTTATTCAATGTGTTAAACTTGTGCGTTTAATTATACTGTTTATTATTTTTCACATTGAATTGTATTGTTGCAAGTGTAAACGTTCTGACTATTTTCCTTCCATGTATAAGGGGTATCTCTTTCGATGTATTGAAACTTTACTCAAAAAAGTTGATGCAATTTTGGAATCGAGAGTGAGTTGTTCTAAATCATATATTTTATTTGCTTTGGTATTTCGTTTTAGTGTTATTATTGGTTCTAGATAGTGTTTAAATCGTAACATAGTGATCTGATCAATAATGCGCCTTTTAAGCCATTATGTTGAGTGACCTATTATCTCCAAATGATTGTTGATTTAAGTGATTTTTTATACATTTATTCGGTCCACAAAACAAGACAGATTGTTAATAAAATTGGTTGAATATGACTTAATTTTATGCAATTTTGTTTGTAGGACAATACTGATGGATATGATGGAACTCAGGAAAAAATATACGAAAAATGACCAAAACAAAAGAAAACGAAAGTTCAGGGATCAGAGTGCAAATATTCAAAAGATGACTCGGAAGACGAATTGAGAATGAAAATGAGCTAAGTATCAACTTGGTGATAATATGGGATGATAGAAGGAAGAAAATGAAGAAAAATGACCAGAATGAAAGTTCAGGGACTAAAATGTAAATAACTAAAAGATGAACCGAAAGCATAGACGAAGGTGTTAAAAATCATTGACCAATTTGTTGAAGATTTGAAGTATTAGAAGAAGACAAATGAGAAAATAAGTCAAAATGCAAAAAAATTGAAGGTCAGGAACCAAAACGCCAATTTCAAGAAGAAAACTTATACCATGAGTCGCATGGTGGTAATCAGAAAAATTGAAGGGACAATTATGCATAATCATGTGGTCGCATGGAAATGACACGAAATTTCTAGTTTCCTTTTCTGCTTAAAGCTCTTATGGAAACAAGTCACGGGAGATATATAAAAACCTTAGAGCCGTCAATTGAAGGGGAGATCGCATTGGGAGAGAAAATAACACATGTTGTATGTGGTTTTGCACCACAAGAACGAAGAGAAACGTGAAGATCGACGGGATCACAAGACAAATCTTACACCAGTGAGTCGCTTCTTAAAGTTTTTGTGTATATTGTTAATTTCTCAATGTTAGGCTAAATTTTCATGTATTAGGTGATCGATGAACCTCTTGATGTAACTTTTTAATTTCTCGATTTGCAATTTTGACATCATACCACGTTATTGAATTTTGAATGATTTATATAAAATTAATTGCTTCCATAATTATGTACACGTAATTGTGTGAGTGGCGACTTATTTCATATATTCGAGAGAAGGGGAATGAGTTTGCAGGGTAGAAATCATTGTAGGATCCTATTGGGGATAGAGATATGCCGCTCTGGCTTGCGTAAATCTTTAAGTGCTCACAAAATCACACGCACTCTTGTATATTTGCACCCGTCATGGAGATATAGGCTGGTTATGTATGAGAGTAAGCTCAACTTTACTTGAGAGAGACTGATGGATAGATTTAAGAGCATTGATTCTTCAAAAAATCAACGTGTTGTCAATTCATGAAATTAGGATTAAAAGTAAGCATTTTTGAGGATTCGTGATCCCAGTACGCTTCATATTCATTAATTACATCTATCTTGCATTCAAAACGTCACTTTGCATTATAGTTCATCAAATTCGCATACAATTGCATATTTAGTCTAGGTTAGAGTTAATCAATTCATAATTCTCCTGTTGAATTATTTAGTTTCAGTAAAGGTCGAGTTTGATAGAATTAAACTACTCAATCTCTGTGGAATGACATTCGGACTCTAATTTTCCACTTTATTACTTATTGCAAATCGTACACTTGCAGAATCAAATCGTAAGAAAAATTTTGTAAACAATTGTCTCTTCACCTAGGTTTTGACTTATCACTGCATGAAATTAAAACAATGTATAGCAACACGTCACATAATATATTACAAGTGACATTACATTTGAAGTGACTTGTTACTATTTACTACTATTGAGTACTAACCAATTTTATTGTTACTATATACTACTATTGAGCCTGTTTGAGAGTGATTTTGAGAATTGATTTTTTGACCGTTAGGAGAAAAGTGAGGTCCACCTGTGAGAAAAGAAGTCAAATATAACGGCTGGGCCTGGAATAGTGAAATAACGAACAAAAAATTAATTTTTTTGGTGAAAAAATCGGGCCCAAACAGGCCGATAATTTAAATAATTTATAAACACTTCCCTCTTATATTCTAACATCTCTAATTTATTTTAGTTATAAAAAGATCCTACAGCTAGTAATTTATTATAGCACTTAGGATTTATGAACTAAAATTATAGTCTAAAATTGAATTCCTAAAGACAAAGTACTTATTTGACACACTTTAATTTATTTTACGATTTGCTATATAATCATTTTTAACTATATATTCATACAATAAAATATTCAACACATACACTAAAAACATTTTTATGCTTTTTAACCGTACATTCTTCTTAAATTCACTATTCTAAAACTCTTTTTTCTTATAATAATTGTTGTCAAACAGGCCTAAAGTGTGTTCGATATGTTGAACTCGATATTTGTAAGGTAATAAAGCCATATCAATTGCCATACTTAAAAATTATGAGGCCAAATTGATATTCTTTCTTAAATATAGGATTGGAAATGCAATTTTCCTCACTTCATCAATACATTATTTTCAGCAAAACAAATCCCTGGGAAAACGCTTCGAACCCAAAATCTTAATCTGCAAATCCGATATACAGAATTTGAATTGCCCGCCAAAACCACCGTTCAACACCAATTTCGCCACCATCACATGCCCACTTTTGCTGTCACATGGATTCCATACTCCATTCAGAACCTATGGTCCAAACTCGTCCTGTCCCTTTCTTCCCACGGCCTATCCCTCAGCCCCAACGTGAAGCGCGCCTTATGGGTCAACTTCCTGGGCATTCCAGGCTTTCAGTTCGAAATAAGAGTTAAAGTTTCTTGTAATTCCAAGGAAGATTTGATGACGTACTTAGTAGAAGAATGGGAATAGATGAATTTAAAAGTTGTAGCCCCAGAAATTCCGATGAATCATTTTATTGGAATTTATGATATTAAGGCCTCAGATTCCAGTATTTCCCAACCCCAGCGTCGAGCCCTGGAATTCCTCGCAGTTGCGCAGTTTGCTTCAGTTTCTCTTTCTTTAATTGTAAGGTGCACGGTGGTACAAAATAAGTAAACGATGTTCAAGCCCTATGCATATTTGTATTCTAGAAAAATTTTAAATTATTATTTTTTTTAAATAAAAAATGTAGGATTGAATTGAATGTTTTCCAAAGTTTGGATGTCAGATTTTTTTTTTTTTATTATTTATGTTTACTAAATTTTTATTTGCTTTGTTCTAGAAGATTGTGAATTAAAAAAAAGAAGAAGAAGATAATGGTAACTTTGTATTTAATGGATGGGATGCAATTTGTGCAAGTTCAATAACCATTTAAAATTAATTCAAAGTACAGTAAATAAAGCGTGACAAAGAACAAAGTTCAATGAAGCACTTTCAACCACGCATTGCTTATTTAGCAATTTTAACTATTCCAACATATCAAGTCAAATTTCATTTGTCCACTTGTAGATGATGTATGGAATGTAATTTAAAAGCAATTTAAACATCACGAGGAGCAAAGTCAATATGTAATAACTCGGAATTCCTCTTTTCTTCGAGAGTTAATTGTTTGAATACACACATCGAACTTCGGATAAGGTCGTGTTTCTTTTATTGTACTTTAATTTGCACTACATTACTCATTAAACTTTATGAAGTTTCCTCCAATTGTACATCGGGCAACTTTCCAACCCTGTCAAAGTGGATAACGAAATACACACATGGCCAGTTAAATCTCTCCAAGTCAATAATTACATGCTAGCTTATTAATCACAAATGCACCTCGGTGAATTAGTGTTAGTTCTCAAAGGATGTCACCAGATAATAATACCATTGCAGCCAAGCCTGTCGGAAAAGATGAAACACCGAATTGACATGCCTAAAAACCACCATAGCAAAGCCCTAAGAATCGACTCTAAAGCGCCCCAAATGTGATTTGAAAGTTTTATATAGAGTAATTAGAATTGGAAGCTCTATTCTAATTCATTGATATTCAACTACTTATATACAAAATATATGACAAATCTTATATGGAAATTCTTGATTCTAGGAGCTATAAAAGGTTAAATCAAATCTATAAAATGTCTGCTATCTGTACATATTTGATTTAGATTTCTCCAGCAATATACTAGTAATATTGATTTACTTAATTCTTGTGATTTATTGCTTCATTGCCACCACCAATAGGATCATTGTCTTCATCATTATTGACTGCTTCATTATCAAGATTATTTTGATAATTTCCCTTGACACATCCC